GCTCTGGCTCGCATGGATTTGAGAACCACCCTGATGAACTCTATTAGTTGGACTGGCCTTAAGGTGAATTTTTTCTCATTTATCAACAGGCCCAGGTTGCAGTAGGTGGAATGCACCAGATGGAGGCTCCTCTGCACTTGTTCCCGAGACCTGCCCTTGATGAGCCAGTCATTGCAAGACGAGAAGACCTGGACCCCTCAATGTCTCAGGGAAGTGGCCATTGGCGCCATACATTTTGTGAAGATCCTTGTGGCCGATGAGAGGCCAAAGGACAGTGTCGTGAATTGAAAATGGCGTCTGCCCACTATGAAACGTAGAAAGTGTCTGTGACCTTGGCATATGGAAATATGCATCCTTCAAGTTGACGGCGGCATACCAGTCTCCCGGATCCAGGGAGGGGAAGATGGAGGCCAGGGAGATCATGCAAAACTTCAACTTCTTGAGAGACTTGTTGAGGCGTCGCAGGTCCAAAATGGGTCTAAGGCCCCCTTTTGCTTTCGGGATTAGGAAATAATGGGAGTAGAACCCCTTTCCTCTCATGTCCCAAGGGACCTCCTCCACCACCCAGACGCAGGAAGTTCTCAATCTCTTGAATGAGGAGTTGCTCGTGAGAAAGGTCCTCAAAGATGAACTGGAAAGGAACTGGAAAGGGGGATTAATCACGCAATTAAAAAAATTAATCACAATTAATTGCGCTGTTAATAATAGAATACCATTTATTTAAATATTTTTGGATGTTTTCTACATTTTCAAATATTTTGATTTCAATTACAACATAGAATACAAAGTGTACCTTTTTCACTTTATATTTATTTTTGATTACAAACATTTGCACCATAAAAATCAGAAGGAATAGTATATTTCAATTCACCTAATACAAGTACTGTAGTGCAATCTATTTATCATGAAATTTGAACTTACAAATGTAGAATTATGTAAAAAAAATAATTGCATTCAAAAATAAAACAATGTAAAACTTTAGATCCTACAAGTCCACTCAGTCCTACTTCAGCCAATTGCTCAGACAAACAAGTTTGGTTACCATTTGCAGGAGATAATGCTGCCCACTTCTTGTTTACAATGTCACCTGAAAGTGAGAACAGGCATTCACATGGCATTGTTGTAGCTAGCGTTGCAAGAGATTTACATGCCAATGCGCTAAAGGTTCATATATCCCTTCATGCTTCAACCACCATTCCAGAGGACTTGCATCCATGCTGATGACGGGTTCTGCTCGATAACAATCCAAAGCAGTGAGGACCGATGCATGTTCATTTTCATCATCATGAGTCAGATGCCACCAGCAGAAGGTTGATTTTCTTTTTTGGTGGGTCATGTTCTGTAGTTTCCGCATCTGAGTGTTGCTCTTTTAAGACTTCTGAAAGCATGCTCCACATCTCGTCCCTCTCAGATTTTGGAAGGCACTTCAGATTTTTAAACCTTGGGCTGAGTGCTGTAGCTATTTTTAGAAATCTCACATTGGTATCTTCTTTGCATTTTGTCAAATCTGCTGTGAAAGTGTTCTTAAAACAAACAACATGCTGGGTCATCATCCGAGACTGCTTTAGCATGAAATATATAATTATCGTACTCTATCTTCTTGCCACAATTCTAAAGACCACACCATGTGTATCAACATGGAGTGAAATCTTGGCTTCACTGGAGTCAATGGGAGTTTTGCCATTGAATTCAACGGGATCAGGATTTCACCCATAATATAAGTGAAATCTCAACATGAAATGTGAAAGTTCCCAGGCAATACAGTAATAGGCACATTGTAATAATTTATAGATGTAGATGCATAGAAATATTTCTAGTTTGATGGAACAAATCCTGCTATTCATCATCAGTATAGTTAAGTCTAAATCAATCCTCCACACTTCCATCACCTTGCCCATTCTTATTCTGCTGATTCAGCAGTCAGTTTTATATCACCGACAGATGTCTTTCAAAAGGGCACAGAGAGGAATCGGTTTTTAAGGATAGTTGTTTTGTCTAATGGGTCCTTAGCAAAGATGACAACTGCATATCTCTCAAATGTACCTCATTTAGAGGGACATCACTCATTGTAGTCCCCAAATTACCTACATCTCACAAATTTGAATTTGTTCCCACTTTTATGGTTGAAAATTATTTACATCAAATAGTCACGAAGCTGATGTTCTGGAGTTATTTACACTAGAGGAAGGAGCATTTTAAGTTTCCTGCATAATTAATTTGTGTCCCTTATTTTGGGTCTCTGTCATACATCGTGCCCCACATTTGAGCTTTAGCAGCTTGAGAAGTATAGCGAGAATGGAAATATTGAAGAGACGGGCACCAGAGAATGAATGTTCTGTTTAGCACTGTACAAGAGATTTCAATTGTCCCTTGACATATGTATTCCTTAGTGCAAGTGAATGTGTATTTTCCCAGTTGCAAACTACAATAATACTTCTATTTAGTCCTGTGGTTGGAACACTGCATAACAGGACATTTGTCAAGGTTTTTGACCCTGACTCGTCTATCAGCAGACATTTGCCAAATATGGACCATGAACTGTATTATTTATTCAAAATTTCAGGCTAAGTGATTCCCGCCAGATTTCTGCTCAAATGTTCAGAGTCTCAAGTATGGTTGGAGAGAGTAAAAATGATGGAAGAAGGAACTGCAATTGTGCTATGTTAAACAATAAGCCCTTTGGGCAGTAACTAGAGGTCTTGTTCTGTACAGGACCTATCCCAATTAAGTTCCTGACCTGGTTGTGGTCTCTAAGAACTTTTCTAAAACACTTATGGGTATACTGAAAAAAATAATTGTTATAATAATATAGTCATTTTCAGAAACATCTTTTCCAGTTCCAAAATTTCATTCATTTTTTAAGTTCAGCAATAGTGTAATTCTAAAAAGGATGTTATGAAATGTAAGAAAAAAAATCAAGCAACTAATATCACATTTGCTGCCATCATATTGTTCACTCTGCTGGTGTGTTCGATCTCTTCCCTCCACCCAGTGTCTGTCTTGTCCACTTAGACCAGAGGTGGGCAAACTACGGCCCACGGGCCACATCTGGCCCGCAGGACCCTCCTGCCCGGCCCCTGACCTCCTGCCCCGGGAGGCTAGCCCCTGGCCCCTCCCCTGCTGTTCCCCCTCCCCCGCAGCCTCAGCTCGCCCTGCCGCCAGTGCAATGCTCTGGGGTGTGGGGTTGCGAGCTCCTGGGACAGTGCGACTGCAGAGCCTGGCCTGACCCGGTGCTCTGTGCTGCACAGTGGCGTGGCTGGCTCCAGCCAGGCGCCTGTTCTGGTATTCTGAATGTTAAGATTGTACAGCGCCGCCAGCCATCAGTGCTCCGGGGTATGGGGGGGAGGGAGTGGATAGAGGACAGGTGAGTTTGGGGTGGTGGTCAGGGGTGTGGATAGAGGTCAGGGTGGTCAGAGGGCAGGGAATCGGGGGTTGAATGGGAGCAGGGGCTCCGGGGGGCAGTCAGGAAGGAGGGGGGTTGGATGGGGCAGCAGGGGGCAGCCAGGGGTGAGGGAGTTCCAGGGCAATCAGGGGACAGGGAGCGCGGGGGGTGTGGATGGGGCAGTGGTCCTGGGGGGGCAGTCAGGGGACAGGGAGGAGCTGTCAGGGAATGGGGGGGGTTGGATGGGGCAGGAATCCCGGGGCGGACCATCAGGGCGCAAAAAGCAGAGGGGGATAGGGGGTGGGGGCCAGGCCATGCCTGGCTGGTTGGGGAAGCACAGGCTCCCCTAACCGGCTCTCCATACAATTTCCAAAACCTGATGCGGCCCTCAAGCCAAAAAGTTTGCCCGCCCCTGACTTAGACTGTATGCTCTTTGGGCAGGAACCGCCTACTCTGTGCATATACACTGTCTGGCACAACGGGGGCCCCATTCTTGGTTAGACCTTCAGCACTATCATAATAAACATAATTAATAATCAGAATTATAGGACTGGAAGGGACCTTAATAAGTCATCTAGTCCAATCCCCTACACTCATGGCAGGACTAAGTATTATCTAGACCATTCCTGACAGGTGTTTGTCCAACCTGCTCTTAAAAATCTCCAATGATGGAGATTCTACAACTTCCCTAGGTAATTTATTCCTGTGCTTAACCACCCTGACATTAGGAAATTTTTCCAATGTCCAACTGAAACATCTCTTGCTGCAGTGTAAGCCCATTGCTTCTTGTCCTATCCTCAGAGGTTAAGAAGAACAATTCTTCTCCCTCCTCCTTGTAACAACCTTTTACATACTTGAAAACTGTTATGATCCTTTCAGTCTTCTCTTTTCCAGACTAAACAAACCCAATTTTTTCCAATCTTCCATTGTAGGTCATGTTTTGTAGACCTTTAATCATTTTTGTTCTCTTCTCTGGACTTTCTCCAATTTGTCCACATCTTTCCTGAAATGTGGCGCCCAGAACTTGGCGCAATACTCCAGAAGAGGCCTAATCAGCATGGAGTAGAGTGGAAAAATTACTTCTTGTGTCTTCCTTACAACACTCCTGCTAATACATCCCAGAATGATGTTTGCTTTTTTTGGAACAGTGTTACACTGTTGACTCATATTTGTGAGTCCACTCTGACCCCCAGATCCGCAGTACTCCTTCCTAGGCAGTCGTTTCCCATTTTATATGTGTGCAACTAACTGTTCCTTCCTAAATGGAGTACTTTGCATTTGTCCTTATTGAATTTCATCCTATTTACTTTAGACCATTTCTCCAGTTTGTCCAGATAATTTTGAATTTTAATCCTATCCTCCAAAGCATTTGCAACCCCTCCCAGCTTGGTATCGTCCGCAAACTTTCTAAGTGTACTCTCTATGCCATTATCTAAATCACTGAAGATATTGAACAGAACTGGCCCCAGAACTGATCCCTGCGGGACCCCACTCCTTATGCATAACATAATAAGTAGCTGCAGGTAAACCCCGATGCCTCTATACTTGAACTGTTGTGCAATTTGAGACTCTGAATTTAATGCAACCGCATGACAAGAAAAATATTGATTTGGCTCAATTTGCTGTCACATTAGAAAGATCAATATATTTACATACATTGGCCAATGTTAAAGGAAACCAAAGGTCCAAAAAGGCCCAGAAGACTGGTACAACACATGTACAGTAGAACCTCAGAGTTATGAACTGACAAGTCAACCATACACCTCATTTGGTACACAATCAAGTAGCAGCAGAGACCAAAAAAAGCCAACAGTACAGTACTGTATTAAATGTAAACTACTAAAAAAATAAAGTGAAAGTAGCATTTTTCTTCTCCATAGTAAAGTTTCAAAGCTGTATTAAGTCAATGTTTAATTGTAAACTTTTCAAAGAACAACCATAATGTTTTGTTCAGAGCTATGAACATTTCAGAGTTAGGAACAACCTTCCATTTTTAATATTGTTTGGTGTATTAGCTTTATTAAAGGCTTTGGGGATAGCATACGGTGGGTAGTAGCCCACAACTCTGCCAAATGACACATGGAAAAGAAAAAAGGGAGAGTTGGATTTTTGTTTGTCCCGTACTCTCAGGATGGTCTGAAAGGTATACCCAGCTTCTGCATCTACTTCAGGAGCTGATCTGCCTTGTAAGCACATTTGCCCAATCCATTGAACAAACAGTGTCAGGCTGGCATTAGATGCATTCCTCTTTTATCATACAACAATTTGAGAATGTTCTTTAATAATTTGTACGTTGAACATCCTGGCAAGAAAGCTCCCCTACTCCCCTATAGATGGCCAGATTCACATTTCAGATGTCTATATAGCTCTAATAAATCCATCCACCATAGTATCTATGCACCAACAAAATTATGTAGAGCAGTATATGGTCTAGAGGTCTTTGCTTTCCACCATCCCTTGTATTCTGTTCACGTGTGCACATGGAGTTTGCTTTTGACTAGAAATAGCAGGAATAATCATGTAACTGTGGCTGGGACACACTTCTATTTTAGGAACTTTTTTTAAAAATGCTTCTTACATTTTATTCGGAACATGTGAAGGATTCGGAGTCATCCTGATTACTGGTGAAAGGGGATTTCACAGGTTGGATTTGCCACGAATAAAAATCTTACCCATCATCTTTGAGAGCTTCAAACTGGGCTTTGCTTATGGCAGCGTTACTGATATGGTAGATTGTGGAGAAGAGTCAGGGCCCAGCCCTTCGAGGACTTTGTAGGATCTTAAAGCTTATCTGGAATTGGACTGGAAGACAACGTAGCTTGCAGAGCTGTGATGTGCTCCTGTTGGTATGTATTACACAGCAGGTGATCCAGTTTGTGTTCAGCCAGCTAAAATTTACTAGTGTCCCCTGCTTTCACTCCCAGGAATAGATGCTGGAACTCTCAAAATCCCATACTGCACATTCTTGGTCAAATTCCTAGTGCAATTAAAAAAAAATTAGCAGTTAGCCTAGCATCTGATTCTGAAAAATGAAAGGGAATTTAGAGTTTATTACAAACTACAGTTACCCTATCATACACAATTTTTGGTTAACAAAAAAATTCAAGTTTTTCAAGTACTGATGTTTTGAAAATTAAGTGTTGGAGTTTCTCAGCAAGTGTGACAAAGACTTTATGGTATGATAACGTATGTTCAACTTTTTAACTCTTTCAGACTGCAATGTTTCAGAGTAGCAGCCGTGTTAGTCTGTATCCGCAAAAAGAAGAACAGGAGTACTTGTGGCACCTTAGAGACTAACAAATTTATTAGAGCATAAGCTTTCGTGGACTACAGCCCACTTCTTCGGATGCATATAGCTATAAGTGGGCTGTAGTCCACGAAAGCTTATGCTCTCAGACTGCAATGTTTTCTCTGCTAAGAATAGCATGCAACAGGTACATCATGTTACTTGCTGAATCTTTATCTTCCATACACGTTACTGCAGAAGAACCCATGCTGCACCACTGTATAGCATGTACCCTGGCTTTAGAGTGTACTTACAAGTATACTTCAAACTCGATTGCTTTGCTTCCATAACACACTATGCTAAAATATTTCCACTGAGAACTGCACAAGAATTTGCACTCAAGAAACTCTGGCTGAGCTCAAAAGAACTATAGGAATATTTAAATAAATAAAAAGCTCCTTGAAAGCTGGCAAGTGGAAAAGCCCTGCCAGTATTGGCATCTAGTATGTAAATGAGAGTTTTATCAGTCATACATTTTAAAATTTGATTTTTTTAAAAGCTTGATAAAGAGGAGGTTTTAAGGTTAACATTTACAAGTCGGTCTCAAGATTAATTCTGTGCTGATAAATTTGGGGGTTTTCCTATCATAATCCCTATATATGTGAGTTGAACATCTAATCTATATATGATTCACAGATAAGCACACACCAGCTTGATTTTAAACATGCACTTATGTTTATTATATTTTGCTGCTCCACTCTCTTAAAATGGTGGCTTTAGGAAAAGCTGCTTTGGCAGGCAATTGCAAAGATTCCTGCGGAGAGGACGTGAAAAGACTGGGCATACAAACAAGGGCCGCTGCCATGTTCAAAGCACAGGGGATAGTTCATAGAGCAAAATGTAGTCCTAAGTAAATGGGTTTCAGGCAATTTCAGTGTTAAGATAACATCATTAAGAGTAGAACAGATTGTGCTCAAACCCTGCTGTTTATAATTAACACATTGCTTCCAAATACTCCAGGGTCCCTGGTAAATAGTCCTCTGCTCAGATCCACCCAGACCAATCAGAATATTTTCATCAGATTGCATGCTGGGCCAGCACCTGTTTGGACAAATCCAGTAGAGCCAAAACGCTCCTCTGCCTGGCCAGCTAAGTAGATAGAGGAACACAGCTTGCTTTAGTCATTGTCACAGTGTCCATATGGCTGTGAGGATTGTTTTCACAAGAAATCGTACAAGTACTTTATTATGTCGAAGTTCACGGTCCTGTAAACAAAAACATACAGTATTTTAGAACAATAAACCCTAGAGTGCTCAGACGATAATCTGTTTGGTGACAATGCACACAAGACACTCTTTGCAACAGATAGCAACCAATTCCTCAGAGAGAAATAAAATAAGACATTCAATTACAGAATATAAATTATATAAAGACACCATTATTTATAGTATTAGTCTTTTGATTGTTTAAACTTTAGAAGAATTTAATACATCAATAAAGTAATCCCTTACCAAGGATTTAAAGATTGAAAGTAAGAATCTTTAGGCTGTAAAAACAAACTTAGATCTAAGTTGACAGCAATTTATTTCTTTAGCCTGGTAAACACGATACACTAGTTGGAGATGCAGAGCGGCAATCTTTTAAGCTATTAAACATTTTGTTCCTCTTCCAAACCACCTGTTTTAGCATTATGTACTGCATAACTCCTTCATCTGTACTCATTTGCAGTCTGCGTTCTTTCAGTCTTGACACTAGTTGACCCATGTTCATAGCTAAATTTGAAAAATCCAAGAATGCTACTCAATAGGATAGAAGATTTTAATGTATACTTTTGTACTTTGATGGCAGGCAGAATGAAATCGCAGTGGAATAAAACATGTAATTAATTTTTTTCTCCAAGCTCATTCTGCTGTACAATCTAACATTCAGATTTTGGGGGTTACTATTTGAATAAATGACCAAAATTACTGGATATAATGACAAGTATAAAATTAAAAAAGTATTCAGTGCTGCAAAAATAGCTGATCACAATGCAAAGTAAAGATTAGCTAATTGGATGTCTTATTTGTCAGGCCACTCATTTCATATTCTTGGCTCACACATCACTTTGCAATCCACATTTAAAAAAGTTTCTACAAAGTATTGTATTGGGCACAGAAAATCCAGAAATTCCTGAGATATATAATCATACATCTTCTGAAGTCTACTTATTAAAACCATTACAAAGCTAAATGAAGTGAACTATGGCAATATCATATTCTGTAATGTCACAGAGTTACAAGTAAGTACCTTACTTATAAGGCTTTCTACAGTAACACTCACTCACTCTGACAAATGTTAACCTTATCAGTTACTAAATGAAAAACTACTGTAATCATTGTGTCATCATGATTAGTACCAGTAGTGACCGTATGACAAGACCTGCCACATTCAACACACACAAACACACACAAAAGCTTCCTTTTACAGTTGCAAAGGAAGAGATGGATAAACCTGCTTCTTAAATTTGGAGGTATCTGAACAATAGTTTAAAACTTCTAACAACATATGTGCCCCTTGCAGTCAAACTACAACAACTGAAAAAATGTAATAGAACGAGGCAAACAAAGGAGTTTGTCTGCAGAGGGTACGAAGACCCGCTGAAATATTTTAGAACAATGTGATAAATGGAACTCTGCGGTAGAGAAGAAAATGACTGCACACAAGTAGTGCTGACCAGGTAGGAATTCTACAGGGAGGAGAAGTGTGACTTTGTGCATCTCCCCAAAGGTAACTTTGCAAAGTTTAATTTTTGCTTCAAAAACAAAGGGAAATTAATTTGATTTTTCCTTGTAGAAGTCCAAACAGAAAAACTGAAGGGCTTGAATGAAAGAGAAGTTATTAGTCTCTATCCTTTCAATACATCAGGCTTGCATTAGAAAATATGCTGGGTAATGGAGATGAGAAACCAGATGACTCCCACAACTGGGACTTTATTTACTAGCAATTTGTTTTAACACTATCACATCAAGACATGAGAAATCAGTAGCCTGCTTGCTTGAGACCCACGGTGGCTGAGGTGGTGAATAAGCTCCTTTTCTTCTGCTGCTGATAGGATGACTTTTCCCACAAGAGGGAGAAGCAAGCAGCCAGAGGAGAAACTAAAGGCAGGTGCACCCTTTCACAGTAGCATGATCTGCTGCAGTTTGCAAATGAATCTTACTAGATCACAGAGATAAATTTCACCCTGCAGCTGGCACCATGGAGTATAGGCGGAAAAATCTCTTACGTGTAGGATTACAGCACCAACCAATTTCTTTTGTAACTACGGCCTGTCATTCTTAGAAAAACATGACGGACAGTGGGATGGAAAGGGGATAGAAATAATGGAAATGAGATAAAGAAGCAGACAAGGAAAGGAAATGAGAAAGAGGTCAGAAGAAATAATAGAGATTTTCAGATTCCAAGGCCAGAAGGGGTCATTGTAATCATCTAAAACTTCATCAAAATAATTCCGAGAGCATATCATTAAGAAAAATATTCAAATTTGTTTTAAAAATTGTCAGTGATGGAGATTCCACCATGACTCTTGATAAATTGTTCCAATGGTTAGTTACTCTCACTGTTAAAAATGTACACCTTATTTCCAGTCTGAATTTGTCTGGCTTCAACTTCCAGCCATTGGAATATGTTATATCTCGCTGCTAGATTGAAGAGCCCATTAATAAATATTTGTTCTATATGTAGATACCTATAGACGTTACTCAAGTCACCACTTAACATTCTCTTTTGGTAAGCTAACTAGACTGAATTCTTTTAGTCTATCATTATGTTTTCTAATCCTTTAATAATCCTCATGGCTCTTCTTTGAACCCTCTCCAATTTATCAACATCTTTCTTGGACTGTGGGCACCAGAACTGGACACAGGATTCCAGCAGCGGTCACATTAGTACCAAATATGGAGATAAAATAACCTCTCCACTCTTACTTGAGATTCCTCTGTTTATGGATCCAAGGATCACATTAGCCCTTTTGGCCCCAGTGTTACAATGGGAGCTCCTGTTCAGCCGATTATCCACCCCCCAACCCCCAAATCTCTTTCAGAGTCACTGCTTCCTAGGATAGAGTCTGCTATCCTGTAAGTAGGGCCTACATACTTTTGTTCACAGATGTATATACTTAGCCATATTAAAATGCATATTGTTTGCTTGTGAGCAGCTTACCAAGTGATTCAGATCACCTGAATTGTGAACTGTCCTCTTCATTATTTACCACTCCCCCAATTTTTGTCATCTGCAAGCTATCATTGATGATTTTACATTTTCTTCCAGGTCATTAATAAAAATATTAAATAGTGTAGGGCCAAGAACCAATCCCTGCAGGGATACTATTGTAACTCACTGTGCCCAGGAGTTAAGCCACATGAATGATGTCTGTAACACCCACTCAACGATAATTCCCTGTTTAAAGTTACATTTTCCGACCTATCAATTATTATCTAGGTATGGCCCCATCACTGTAGTATCTCAGCATGTCTAACTATTTGGAAACAGACATAACAATCTCTCCTCTTCTTTCATCACAAAAATAGCTTGAATAGAGTTGTGTGTGCGCAGGTGCATGCAGGTCCTACTGTGAGAGAGCTGAGCAAACAAGTTATATTTTGCGTTGAGTTCTGAAAGTGGTGAAGACTGTGACAACTGCTCTCTTCCAGGAGTGAGTTCCACAGTGTAGGTCCTGCTCCTGTGCTCTGAGCCTCCCTATGCTGCTG